CATTCTTTTAATGGTCCCAAGTTTTATTTTTCAGCTGCTTCTCTAGATGTAGTGAGGCACAATGAAGTTTCTTAAAAAACAGCGAATAGTCCTGTAGCACTTTAGAGACTAACAAAAAATATAGATGGCATCATGAGCATTTATGGGCACAACCCACTTCTTCAAATGAATGGAGTTAAGGGGTTCACGGTACAAACAAATCATAGAGAGAGGGGACGGGGAGAGAAAGAGAAGAAAAAAAATGAGTGAAAAATATTTTCAATTAGAGTGTCCATGCTAAATGAGGCTGATCAAGTGAGTCCTATGTATTGTAAGTACCCAGTGCTTGGCTTTTTATGTCATTAGGGTGTGGAATGTAGCGGCTCATGCAGTTAAGGTGTTTTTTAAAACCTCTATTGCAAGTGTCAAACTTGTAAATGAAATCAAGTTCTGCAGCTTCTCTCTCCAGCTGTTTTTTGAAATTGCCATGTAATAATATGGTAACTTTGAGATCCATTCATGAGTGCCTGGGCAAGTTAAAATATTCCCCAACAGGTTTCTCTGTGTTACTATTTTGAATATCTGATTTGTGTCCATTAATCCTTTCTTGTAGAGACTGTCCAGTTTAGCTAATACACATGGCAGAGGGGCATTGCTGGCACTTGATGGCATAGATCACATTGGTGGATGTGCAGTTATATGAGCCTCTGATGTGGTGGCTTATGTGGTTAGGTTGTGTGCCCCCAAAAGCTCAGGATACCATCTATATTTTTTGTTATTCTCTAAGGTGCTGCAGGACGATTTGTTGTTTTTTATGTTTTTTCAGTCATAGACTAACATGGCTACCCCTCTGAAATCAATGAAGTGCAGCCCATCATCTATGAAAAGCAGTAATATACACAGTAAAACCAAACCAGAGATCCAAGAGAGTTATTTTTCTTCTGTAATAGACTATTAAATACCCAAGAAAACAACAAGTCACCATCATGGGGGAAGGGGAAGTGGTGTTTCTAGAAGATAAATCTCCAGATGTTCTTGCACTTGAGTATTTTCAGAGAGGCTGCAGACCTGTCTAGCTTTTGCCCTTGAAAAGAATCCCATTATATGCTGCCAAAGAGAGCCACAGGAGGATTGTTCATATTTCCATACAGTATAGCATGCCAGCAGGAGTGTAGTTCAAATCCAAATCCTTCCTCTGCCTGCCAGGCAGGTCTGGCTGTGACAGGGTTGGCTGTATAAGGGCTTTCTAGGATCACACATCCCAGCACATAAACAGCAGATCTGTACCGATGCTCTCCTATATTGCAGTCCACCCAGGATATCATTCAATCTGGCACAGGCTCACTCAGTGGCACAGTTATCTATGTCTAAGACCTTGTGTCTGTGGCACAGTGTAAGTGCCTGCATGATGGACATGCTGCTCAACATTAACAACAGTAAGTTTTCTGTTCTTCTGGGAGAGAAAGCAGAGAGGGAGATGGATAATGAATTAACTCTGTGCTGGGCAACGATCACAACTGGTTTGGACATGTGCTGTTTATGAGGGCACTTGGCCTAACTTCACAGAGCGAATAAACACACTAAGAAATCTGTTATCTACAGATAGGCATTCAGAATCTGCTCCAATGAGGAAGTCTGGGATATAGACTTTAACACACGTAAAACTGCCCTCACCAAACAACGACATGCCAGCAGAGAAGTGGATCGCATCATGGAATAGGCTACCCAAATATCCCAAGAGAACCTGCTTTAATACAGAAACAACTCCTGCTCCTCAAACACACACCCCTAGTGGTCACCTACCATCCCACACCAGAGTCCATATGGGGGATCATCAAACAGTTAGAACCCATGTTCGATAGAGACCACATCCCAAAATTGTTCTTTTCTGGGCCCCCTCTTCAGGCCTTCAAACAACTCCCCAGTTCATCATCTCATCATCAGAAGCAAGCTCCCCACACACCAGGAAAAACCAGCTCAAAGCAGCACTGGACCTTGTCAGAACAACAGATGCAAACCTGCAGACATTCTCCACTACTGTGATGATCAGCACCCCCCAATACACCTTTCAAGATCCATAGGTTCTGCATCATGCCTATCACAATAAGCCGTGTACCTCATTCAGGGCAGTAAATGCCCCAATAACAACTATGTGGGTGAAACCAGCCAATCAGTATGCTCTCCAATGAACTCGCACAGAACAATGATGAGACACAAAAGTGCCACACTGCCTGTGGGGGAACACTTCACAAAGCAGCCTCTCTATAGCTGACCTCTCAGTCCTCATCCTCAAAGGAAACCTGCACAATACCTTCAAAAGACAAACTTGGGAGGTTAAATTTATAACTGTGCGAGACACTAGTAATCATGGACTGAATAGAGACACTGGATTTAAGGCTTATTACAACAACTCCCCTCCCATGTTTTTTGTTCTTCCCCCTTTCACTCGTCAAGACTGGAGAGGTGTGAATAGGCCACTTCATCTTGAATGTTCCCTTGAAATAGATATTAACTACTTGGCTACGTCTACACTGGCCCCTTCTTCGGAATAGGCATGCTAATTTCAAACTTTGGAATAGGGAAATGCGTGGTGCGATCCTCCGGAATAAAGCCCGCGGGATTTAAATAAACATGGGGAAAAGCCGGAAAAGAGCATCCAGACTGACGGAATAAAGCCCTATTCTGGAGAATCTCTTATTCCTACTTCAAGTGGATCTCTTATTCCTCCCTAGTCCCTACTTCAAGTAGGAATAAGAGATCCTCCGGAATAGGGCTTTATTCCGGAGGATCGCGCCAATCTGGACGCTCTTTTCTGGCTTTTCCCCAAGCTGGGAAAAAAGCGGCGGCCATGTTTATTTAAATCCCCCGCGCATTTCCCTATTCCAAAGTTCTAAATTAGCATGGCTATTCCGAAGAAGGGGCCAGTGTAGACACAGCCCTTATGTTAAACAGTCTGTTCCACCTTGTATTAGCTATTACACTGTGAGCACCTTGCCAAGATCTGAAGATGGCCATGTGTAACCTCAAAACTTGTGCCTATCATCAACAGAAGTTACTTCTATAAAAGATACTACCTCATCCACTTTGTCTCTCTGATGGAGACTGAAGACCTTTGGTGAACTAGAGCTCCCATAGCGTTTTTCACATATCTCAATTGCCTTGAATAATCCAAGTACTTAATCACTTGCTTAACTTTAAGCATGATTCCAAGAAGACATAAGTAGATGTTTAAGTGCCTTTGCTGAATCAGGGCCGAAATCTGTCGGGCAGGGATTTTAATATAAGTAGCATTCTCTGCTACTGGGCCTACACTGTTATCAATAATCCAAGCATAGTGGATATTCCCACATCCTACAGGGTGTTTCCGGGTTTGGCCATGATGGATTATAATATTTAGCTCTTCTATAAAAGCACGTCATTAAAGAGATGGCCCAACCAAACCATATTTCCCCAAGGAAAATACCAAATGGGCAATGCTCATCTTGTCCGTCTGAGCCAATGTACATTCCAAGAAGATAGATCTGAGAAGCAGACTCTTCTTGTCACATCCTCAAGTCATACAGCTTCCTAACCTACCCAATTACATGCTATTGCCTAATCATTGCACTCCGCTAGGTCCCTGGAAGAGCTTTCACACATAGGCAGCTGGCACCATATTTCGAGGCTCTCTGCCGCCAGTCACAGGTGCTGGGGCCAGTGATATAGCCCCACTTGATCATTGTTTCTCTAGACTGGGCCAACTCCAGTGCACCACCATCGATCAAGGAAAGCCCTGGGTGGTAGTACTGAAAAGGTAGGACTAAAGCACAGAGGCTACAGGGTCATTCTCTATTAATTCGCTCCAACTGAAACTTGTTTATTTGGGAGAACTGAACCCTTGTCTGTTTGGGTGAATATTCTGGGTTTAATGGTGGCAAGAAAGCTTTGTTGTGACTTCAGTCAATTCAGCATCAGCACTATACAGCCAAGCAGATGTCTTGGATCTGTGCACTGCCTTGTATGTTTCAGTCTATGAGCAACTACCCAGCACCCAGGAGGAGCAATACCTGAGAGGATGAAGAGGATATGACATGGCTAGACTTAAGGCATCCTGTAATATAGCCACTGGCAGTGTTAACAGAAGGAGGTGGCTTAGGAAGGAAGAATTAGCGGCATCAGAAAATCAATGGAGAGTCTAACCAAAGTAGGGAGCCCAACAGTGGGAAGTCCGTGAGGCATCTTTTCCTTGGGAGGCAACAGGGAAACCAATAAGAGTGCAATGGACAATGAAAGTTCTGGTGTGTCCAGAACCAGAGGTGGAAGAGAGAACAGGATGAATCTCCCACCTCCAATTTCAGTTTGGTGTGAGTTGCTCTAAAAAACTGCTTGGCTTCGGAGAATGGTTTTTTTTGTCCAGTTTACTGTACAATAAATGCAGTTACACTTCAAGTGGAGCCAACTCACATCAGCTGCATTACACCATCAACATACACTATCCTAAGGACATTTAACCGGCTGGAACATTAAGTTTGCCTTCACCCCTAAGGGAACCTCTTGAGAGAAATATACTGAAAACTCTAGGCCTGGTCTGTCACAGATCTGGGATTAGTTTGACTCACCGACACCCTCATAATGGCTTGGACCAGTTACATCCTTAACATTTTTACCTTGGTTGTTTTATTCCTTTCCCTCCCTTAAGTGAAAACATTACAAGTTCCTTGGTTGGGGAGTGCAGTATTGTTGTCTTTCAAAATATACTTTGCAATGAAATCTCTTCTCAAAAGAAGTATTTAGTCTCTAGAGAAGTTTCATGTTTTCAAAAGGTATTAACATGAATACTGACCACAGTGAATCTGCAGCATGTGCAGCCAACAGCACTCAAACAGACCATGGCACCTTAGCGGCAAACAGAATCAAAATCAGATCAGTCCAAGAGCCATGTGAAAGGTAACCACATAAGACAAAGTACAGTAGTAAAATTATTTAAACATAACTCAGGAAATGCAGATGGCAACTCGAATACAGAAGCTTGAAATACTTACCAGTGGGTGTTATAGAAGTTTTCGGTGCTGGAAGTAAACTCCTGCGGGGAGTTGCTGTGCTGGTTGATACCTGCTGTGCAGTCTTACTGGACCCCTTGGGTAAATCTTTAGAAGGCACAGATGCCTTAGGAGGGGTTTGCTCTTCACTGCCAAAGTTTGAACCTGCAGGAGGCCAAAATTGCACTAATTATTACTTCATAAAAAATGTATGTATGTTCTGGAGCACAGACTGAGCTCATATTTACAATTATAATCTGTAAAGGCATATTCCGCTCATAACTCAAGATGGCTCTATTACATGTATATTTCTTTCAGAGGCGTAGCGAGGGTGTTATGCGCTCAAGGGCGAAAGCAAAATTGGCGCCCCCCCCTCACCAAATGGTGGAGCCCAAACCTGGCGCACAGATGAGCTCAACCCTGAGAGGAGTGGGAGGAACTTGTACCGCGTCTTACCCAACCCCCTCCAGTTTGGGGCTGGGTCCCACACGCACTAATACATTGGCAGAGGTGGAGAGAGTCAGGCTGGGGGCAGAAAGGCGAGGAGGAGGTAGCTCCAGCCGGTGGTGGTAGGCAGAGGAGGAACAGGTGAGCAGAGGGATGACAGGGGGAGTGTAGGGGGACTATACTGGCACCTCACTAGTGTGGCACCCAGGGGCCACTTCCCCTCTCCTCTCCCCCACTCTCTCCTCACTATACCACTGTAAATAATCCACCTCTTAGGTTATTTATTGTTTAATGAATTACTTATTTTACTAACTACAGACATATAAATTATATAGTTTTCTGGTTTTACATTCTGTTTAATATTTTTTCTTTTTAATTTGTTCATATCCCGTTCTCATTGGGTGCATGTCTTTTACATAAAATATGTCAAATTCTTAAATACGTAAGTTTTATAAAACACGAGAAAAGTTAATGTTATACAACCTAAATATGAATTTCATCACTATATTTCATTCAAGCATTTAAAACCACTGTTATAGCAAATGAGTAACACATTGCTTTAATGAATAAAAGTAAAAAAGATTTTGAGCATATCAAATTTATTGTAATAGAGAAGTAGTCGTGTTAGTCGAATCTTGGTAAAACAAAAAGAAAAAAAGTCTTTAAAGTGCTACATAACTAACAAGATACCTAATACATTTATTGTAATCAATCTGTAATGTTTCCTAACTGCCCATTTACTTACCCAGTTAACCTAATTGTTTTTCACATTATCGCACAGCAAAAAACGACACGAGAGTTATCAATGTAAGAGATTAACTTACCTGTTAAAATAACACTCTGAAAAACTTCTAAATAAAACTAACACACAACACACACCCTCGCTTTCTTGAAGGCACTTGAAACAATGAGTAGCCTAAGGCTGAGGATACCCTGCAAGCCTGGGTTTCTGTCTGCCACAAGGACTTTTTCCTTCAGGCTGCCATGAGATTCTATGCCATGAGAAACTACAGACCGGTCAGTTTAACGTCTGTCCCAGGGAAGATAATGGAGCAGGTAATTAAGGAAATCATATGCAAACACTTGGAAGGTAATAAAGTGATAGGGAATAGCCAGCATGGGTTTGTGAAGAACAAGTCATGCCAAACTAATCTGATAGCTTTCTTTGATAAGATAACGAGCCTTGTGGATAAGGGAGAAGCGGTGGATGTCATATACCTAGACTTTAGTAAGGCATTTGATACGGTCTCGCATGATATTCTTATTGATAAACTAGGCAAATATAACTTAGATAGGGCCACGATAAGGTGGGTGCATAATTGGCTGGATAACCGTAGTCAGAGAGTTGTTGTTAACGGTTCTAAATCCTGCTGGAAAGGGATAACAAGTGGAGTTCCTCAAGGGTCTGTTTTGGGACCCGTACTGTTCAATATCTTCATCAATGATGTAGATATTGGGATAGAGAGTACTCTTATTAAGTTTGCAGATGATACCAAACTGGGTGGGGTTGCGACTTCTTTGGAGGATAGGGACATAATTCAGAATGACCTTAGCAAGTTAGAGAAATGGTCGGAGGTAAACAGGATGAGGTTTAATAGAGAGAAATGCAAAGTGCTCCACTTAGGAAGGAACAATCAGTTCCATACATACAAGATGGGAAGCGACTGTCTAGGAAGGAGCATGGCGGAAAGGGATCTAGGGGTCATAGTGGACCACAAGTTGAATATGAGTCAACAGTGTGATGCTGTTGCAAAAAAAGCAAATATGATTCTAGGTTGTATTAACAGGTGTGTTGTAAGCAAAACTCGTGAAGTCATTCTGCCGCTCTACTCTGCGCTAGTTAGGCCTCAGCTGGAGTACTGTGTCCAGTTCTGGGCGCCACATTTCAAGAAAGATGTGGAGAAATTGGAAAGGGTACAGAGAAGAGCGACAAGAATGATTAAAGGTCTAGAGAGCATGACCTATGAAGCCAGGCTTCATGAACTGGGCTTGTTTAGTTTGGAAAAAAGAAGATTAAGGGGGGACATGATAGTGGTTTTCAAATATCTAAAAGGGTGTCACAAGGAGGAAGGCGAAAATTTGTTCCTCTTGGTTTCTGAGGACAGGACATGGAGTAATGGGCTTAAAGTGCAGCAGGGGAGGTTTAGATTGGACATTAGGAAAACATTCCTAACTGTCAGGGTGGTCAAATATTGGAATAAATTGCCAAGGGAGGTGGTGGAATCTCCCTCTCTGGAGATATTTAAGAACAGGTTAGATAGACATCTGTCAGGGATGGTGTAGACGGAGCTTGGTCCTGCCTTGAGGGCGGGGGGCTGGACTCGATGACCTCTCGAGGTCCCTTCCAGTCCTATGATTCTATGATTCAATCCTTAAGTAAAGGAGAGAGGTCTCTCTGAGCTCCTCCTCCTAATTTCACAGAAGCCTTCAACTGAAGCCATAGATATCAAGATTCAAGGCCAACTTTGCTTTGAGCAGACTGCCTCTCCAGGTATTCACAATCGCAACATCTGAACATGTATAAGACTTTTAGTTGAGAAAGCTATGTTAATCCCAAGTCTCTGCTATGACTGGGAGATGGAAAATAGGCAACAAAACGTGGGGTGATCTGTCACTTCAGTAATGCCAACTCCTTTAGAATTGAGGCTCTGAATATCCAGCACCAGCTGAGGTAGAGCAGGCACTATGTGTATGTCTGATACATTTTTACCAAAACTCCTGTCTGCCCAACTCAAAGGAGAAAGGAAACAGGGAGGCAAAAAGGAATGGAATAGCATAGAAACTTTTTTATAAGCAGGAGAGAGGTCTCTCTGAGCTCCTCCTCCTAATTTCACAGAAGCCTTCAACTGAAGCCATAGATATCAAGATTCAAGGCCAACTTTGCTTTGAGCAGACTGCCTCTCCAGGTATTCACAATCGCAACATCTGAACATGTATAAGACTTTTAGTTGAGAAAGCTATGTTAATCCCAAGTCTCTGCTATGACTGGGAGATGGAAAATAGGCAACAAAACGTGGGGTGATCTATCACTTCGGTAATGCCAACTCCTTTAGAATTGAGGCTCTGATTATCCTGCACCAGCTGAGGTAGAGCGGGCACTGTGTGTATGTCTGATACATTTTTACCAAAACTCCTGCCTGCCCAACTTACCAAAGGAGAAAGGAAACAGGGAGGCAAAAAGGAGTGGAATAGTACAGCACCTTTTTTATAAGCTTCAGAAGGGTAGCTGAGTTAGTCTGTAACAGGAAATACTTAAAAAACAACAAAATGGTCTAGTAGTACTTTAAAGACTAACAAAACATGTAGATCAGAGGTAGGCAAAAGGCCTCCATGGGTCAGATCCAGTCTGTGAAGGCCCTGCTGCTCCCCCGCCCCCAGGCCAATTAGGACTTGGGGTGGGAGAGCACGTGAAGCTTTCTCTGCTCTGCTCCCACCCAGCGAGCAGCATAAGGCACTTCCAAGCACCACATACTCCTCACAAGGCAGGAGGAGGCTTCCCGCGCTCCCCTGCCCTCGAGCCTTGATTGGTCTGGGTAGCCCCACCCCTTGTGCTTAGTGGGAAGGAGGAGGCAAAGGGGCTCCCCCACCCCAGACCAATCATGGTCTGGGTAGCCCTGCCCCTTCCTGTTTAGTCCCCGCCCCTTCTGTGGTGACCCAGGGCTACTTCAAAATTTTTTGAAGTGGCCCCCGGGTAAAAATTATTGCCCACCCTTTATGTAGATAGTATCATGATCTTTTGTGGGTGGAAGTGGGTTGTGCCCACAAAAGCTCATGATAACATCTACATCAGGCATGTCAAACAGGCTTCTAGCAGGCTACATGTGGTCCAATCGAAATTTTTTGTGGCCTGCCAAAACATTTTATAAAAGATTAAAGGGTGGCCCACTGGCCACTCGGAGCACGTGGCCGAGTGCAGATCACGGCTGGCTGGGTTGCTCTGCATAGGCATCAAGTGCCTGCTCACAGCTAGCTGCTGTGCTCACACCTCCCCAGTGCTAGGGGGGGGGGGGGAAGGGGCTGGGAGTGCCTGGGTCTGGGGGATGGAAGAGGAACTGGGTTAGAGGGGGGTTCTTTGGGGGAACTGAGAGGAACTGGGTTAGAATGGGGATTCTAAACTGTAAAGTGGCCGCTGCTGCCACCCGGCCCTGCTGCCTCAGCTTGCAGCGTGGAGAGAGCCAGGAGCACTTAGCCAACTCCCGGTCTCTGTTCAAAAGCATCACATGGGCCAGAGCAGCGGGCACTTCGCTCCCAGCCCAGCCCGGCCCGGCGCCCCCCTAGCGTGGTGCCTGAGGGCAATTACCCCCTTCTGCCCCCCTTTGCTACGCCTCTGATTTCTTCTTTTGCAACTGCTTATTCACAGATAAAGGGTCCCCAATAACTCCCCTAAAATATTAGGCTTTTATTATGGTAAGTCTTGACTGCCAGAGGTGGCAACCTATGGCCCATGGACCACATGTGGCCCTTTGGGTTCTGCGTGTGGCCCGGGAGACATTTTGTTTACCATTGTTCATGCACTGGGTTGCCAGATTCCACTGGTTTCCATCCATGTGGTTGTATTCCTATCAATATTACTGAAGTTACACGCACGTAAAGTGAGGGCACATGTAGTGAGGTGCATGCTAGTTGTACAGAACATTGACTGTGAGAGCTGTGCGACCCTGTGCAGCCAATCAAAGCACTGCTACCAAGGATGGGGAACCTACAGCCATAAGTCCGGA